AATCAAATCAAATCCAAACTCAAACTTTTTATTACATCGATTCAACTTATTTACATCTTCTATTGAACGACGCCGTCAAGTCATACACGCGAAAAACAACGATCCGAAAGCCGGAAACTAAGAAAAATTAAAAATATATAAACCTTAAACCCTTTTCAAATCCCGAAACCAACCCTCATTAAACGAGTTCAAAAACTGCAATATCGGTGAATACTATGGGTAAAACCGTCATTTCATAAAATGCAGAATCACATCGCCCACAATTAGTAGGAACAAAATTTTGACAGTTGCCATTTATATCAACCAAAATGATTAAAATATTTATTGGACGGAGGATAAATAAAAACATAAAATAAATAAAAAATATTATCTTGTTAGAAATTATCAAAATTTTAAATAGAGGTCAAAACTCGTGATAGTAGCGAATGATTTTGGGCCGTTTGATTTGAATATTGAGAGACGTGTTTGAGAGAAAGAAAAAAAAGTAGGTGTGGGACCACTCAAAACCAGCCCTGACGGTTTTGAACCACATCCACCAAAGGAGCTGACTCGGAAACTATTACAACTAAATTTTGCTATTTTTTCCTTTTTTAATATATAAATATTAACTAATAATGCCAAAAGAATTTAATTCAATTTATAAGATTGAATATTTTACTTGTAATATTAATAATTTTTAAATTAAAAATTAAAATCTTGATTTTAAAATAAAATAAATTCTAACTTCCTTGAAAAAAAAAATTGGCCTGGGATAGAGATTGAATGAGGGTAGTGGTCACTTTCATTATCTGATTTTTGAAAAATACAACATCATACTATTCGTCAAAGGGAAAAAGGGCGTCACCAAAAATCTTATAGTAATTAGAAAAGGATGATAAATTAAATAATTGAATTAATTGAAATGTGATTAACATTGACCAGGTCGTGTAGCTTTACCCTAACCAGCCAGCTGGGCCGTCTTTTAAAAGCGGCGGTCGACAATTCTAAATTACAATATTGCCCCCCCTTGAAAAATGTCGGAACGCTATGATTTGACAAGGGCTTGTTTGCGTAGGCGAAAGTGCCTTTCTTTTTTTTTTTTTTTTTCCTTTATGAAATAAGGGGGAGGGGGGTGCATTTAATCAAAACATAACAGCGTTAGCTTAAGAGCAAACGGAAGGAAGGGCCTAACTGATGATTGTCAGATATGGCCAGAACAAGCAGACGTTTTTGCCTTTTCCCCTAAATGACTGCTGCTGGGGAATTTTTTAGAATTTGACCGAATTCTTGTTTCATTTTTTTCATGTTTATTTCGTTTTCCATCTAAGATTTTTTGCTTACTTTTTTCGTGAAATTAAAAAAAAAAAAATGAGAGATTCATGTATCACTTGAATTGCAGTTACTTTTAAACTCATTAAATGCATACAGACCAAATTTGTTCACAGATTCAATATCTATAATAATAATAATAATAATAATAATAATAATAATAATAATAATAATAATAATAATGTAAAGAATTTTCTAAAAAATAAATATGATAGTTAATTATGTTTTATATATTATGATTTATTATTAAAATTATAGCTAAAAAATTAAATCAAATTCATATTTTTTTTTTGTAAAATTTTGTTTGAATTTAATCCCTATTTCAGATGATATTTATTAAAAGTTTATATTTTTATTTAAAAAACTAATTATTTTTTGAATTAATTGATATATTATTAAAATTAATATTTAAATTTTACGAATTGAGATAATTTATGCTACTATTATCTTTTTAGTCAAATAAATAATAGAATAAAGAATTTAAAGATAAATTAAAAATTTTAAAATATATATTTTCAAAAGATTGTTCATAAGAATCAACTTTTAATTGATGAAATTTTTTTTTTATCAACTGACTTAATTTGTATGCGTTCGAATCCACATATTATCACACACACATTAATTTGTATACGTTCGAATTCACATATTATCACACACACATACACCGTATATACATATATGCTTACTGGTGACTCAAATGCATTGTTTATAAATTTTGAGATATTGAGATGATTAACACTTCCCAGTGAAAGAAGAAACAGAAAGTGATCAGGTGAATAAAGAAAAGGAAGTTTTGGAGAAAAGGGGGGAAGGAGTGATGATTATTTTTTGAAGGATTGTGGGGAAGAAAGTGATAAGCCGACCACCATGATCTCTAAACTATAAAATTATATGTATAATTAAAAGTTGAAATGATTATTGAGAATCTTGGCACAGTGGAGGTTGATGAAAATGTGTTGTTATTACATATAAGAGGGATGGGAAGAAAATAAAATATATTTTTTAATTTTTTATTTTGCAACAAAAAAATTGAAAGAAATAAAGAAAATTAGTTGGTTTGAATTTTTTAAAAATATAAAAAAATGTTGTTCAATTTAAATTGATAATTTTATTTTTTATTTAATAAAAATAATTAATTTTCTTTCTCTTTATTCTTTTTATTTTCTTAGGTTTTTCATTCATTTCACTTTTCTTCTTTATCGGTAATGGCGTTAGAAACGTGATGCTCTTAGATTAGTTGCTGTAAAAAAAAAAGTAAAATACAACTTTAGAGCGAATAGACATTGAATTTTTCAAAACTGCCGACCCAAAGGTATTGCAATAAAAGGAAGAATAGAGTAATTGATTATGCTAAGACGATATATATATATATTTCATGTTAGCAAAAACTTGATAACTTCTTTTTATCTACATATACAATATGGTTTCAAATAATATTTTACACATATCATTTTTAATCATTAACCATAATATTTTATATCAAAATAAAATTAATATTAACCATATATTATACCATTTTGAATTACATATAAATAAGTAATGATTCATACAAGAAAATATGATAATTATGTTACGAATTTACATAATTATACATGTTTTAAGTTCAATATTATCTTACTTTTTATTAATGTAAGATTTAAAAAAAAAAAATTTTAACTTTTAACCTATAAGCTTAAAACCATTTTCATATCTATTTGATGTATAATCTGTGATATTTAATCTTGGGTAATTTTAAAATTTTATATCACCAAATATATTGAATATTACAAGATTATATGGTCTATTATTAATTCATTATCAAGTACTACTTTTATAACATTCTTGTTCTAACTTACCCAATGTATTTAATTCTTTTGGATACGAGAAAATGGGAGAGTTGCGAGTCTACATACATCAATATCAAATCACCAATCACATTAAGTTGTCTTATCCCAACTAAGCAAGAACCAAGAAACAAATATGTGCTGTATTAAAATGGAAAGTAGTTTGAAAAATTCAAGCATTGAATAGTAATTAGTTTGTATCAATAATTTTGTTTTGTCGTCAACATTTTCTATTTTTGATTATGAGTGTGTTAAATGGTTCGAAATTGATAATAAATTATATCAAATTTAAGAATAAAAAATTTTAATATATGGTTTTTGGTGTGCATTTTTTTAGCTATTTAATATGTTTCTTTAAAAAATGAAGAAAATTAATAATAATTAGCTTATCTATTATTGGCAACAATAATTTAAAAAAATAATGTAACTTTTAGGAATTAAATTCGTAGTGTTAAATGTTTGAATAAACCATTCCATTTTTTTTTTAATTTTAAAAATTAATATTAACTAGACAAAATTAATTGTGTATGTTACATCTTTGTTTTCTCCTTAAACATTCTTTGATTCAATTACTTTCCACATTTGAAAAAATAAATCTTAAAAAGTAAATATTAAGGAAATAACCAAAAGATTTGGTTCCTAAGTAATTTTTTTGAAACAAAAAAAAAAAAGAAGGGAATACATGAAAAACATAAAACATGATAATTTTTGGTATTCGTATCGTATAAAATTTTAATAATTTATATTATATTTTACATAAAAATTATATATTATAAATTTTTTCAATATAAAAAATAAAATATATATTTTGATTTTATCAAACCTATATTTGTTTTGAATTAAATTTTTAAATTTTGTCACTTTTCATGTGTTTTTCATATTATTTTGTACTTTAAATTGTTAAATCTACTTTTAACTATTATTTTAATAATTTAACCAAAAGTAAAAAAAAAAAAAAAAGAATTAGAAGTGGAACTGATTTGATAATTGATGTCCGGTTTGCAATTCAATTTGTCTAACATGATAAGAATGTTTTTGTATTTTATATTTTTAGAAAATTTCAAAAATTTGAAATATGTGAAAAATAGAACTTAGAAAATTAGAAAGAAATATAAAATACATCCTTTAAACAACAAAAAATATATTTAAAACTTAAACTAAATATGAATCTTAAATGATTTAATTTGATTTTTCGGTTCAATATTTTTCATGACTTTGTAACGGTTCAATCCCTATTTAAATATAATTCGGTTTTTATATTTCTGGTCCAATCCATCCATTTGATTAGTTCGATTTTGACAACAACTCTCTTAACTATTTATTATTATTATTATGTTATTTTCTTTCATTAACAATAAATATTTATCACTAATAACATTTTATCCCACTTAATTAGCTAATTAGTAGTACTATAACTTAGCAAATTGACCAGTCTAATTAGCAAAATCAGGGATGATTATGATTCTGATTATGATGATGGATCGTCAAATGAGTAATTGATTAGTCAATGGGATAATTAGTCATAAGCTTAATTTTTCCCAAAACGGTTTTAATCAAAGCCAGTGGTTCCTGTACCGCAGGGAATCAGAACTCCACTAACGGAGAAATTGACCAGCCATAATTAGAACAGTAAAAGACGTATGCGTAACGGAGTCTTCTTCTCTCTCTCAAAAACTCAATCTAAAAAAAAAGGGACCGTTTTTATTCAGTCACATATCACAGTAGTCAACACGTGTGTCAACCGGGCCTTACCGGTTACCGGTTGTTTACTCCCCTTCCTGGTCCCCACCAGCACCACCGCCTCCCTTCTCCGCACCACCACCCCTCCCATCTTTTTTTTTTTATTATTTAAATTAGACTCCAAGATGAAACAAAGAGCAAACGAAATTAAAATAAGGGTTTTTAATTATTTCTAAAATTTTTTTAAATTTTATTTTAAAAATTAAAATTCAAAAACAATTTTTTTGTTAGTTTAAGAGAGATAAAGGGGACCTCTTTAAGATTTTGCTCGGAAAGCCAAAACCCAAAGCTCCCTTGCTCCGATTTGCAGAGAGAATCCAAAGGACAAACAAGCAGCCTATAGAGAAACAGAAACCCAAAAAAAGGAAAGCTCAAACGCAGAAACAACAACAACAACAACAAGCGAAGAACAGAAACAGCAAATCCAAAGGAACAAAAAAAAAAAAAACACAAAACAAAACAAAACAAAAAGAAAAAAAAAAGAGAGAGATAGTGTCTTAATTTTTGACAGAAACGAAAAGAAATTCAATTCCATTTCTTCTTATCCAATCAGTAAGTCCCTCGCAACATTCTTGTTATTATTACTATTATTGTTCCTTCTCTTTCTCTGTCACTTCTTTCCTTTTGTTTTTATTCATCTTTTATGTTTTTAGTTTTTAATCACTTTGTTTTTCTCCTGTTTAATATAATGAGATTGATGAAATTGTAACCAGATCTAATTCGCTTTTTTTTTTTTTAATGTAGTAGTTCTATTTATATATTTCTTTGTTTGGTTCTGGTTCTTGTTCTATGAAATTCTGAGATCTGGTTCTTCTTTTTCTTCAGCTCGTTTGATCGTGAATTCTGTTCTTGTTTTAACAAAAATTGTTTCTGTTACTTCCTGTTTGACTTAAAAAGAAAAGAATTTACCTCTGAAAATTCTTTTTTATTTTCTTTTATAAAGCTCAATTTGGATCGTCCTTTAATTGGATTCAATTTTCTGTTTGGTTGGGTTTATCGTTTTGAATTTTAATTGAAACTGGTCGTTATTTTTGTTTTCTGAATAGGTTGAATTCGTTAATTTTGACTGCGTTTTTTTCGTCGGGACAAAAAAAAAAAAACTTGAGGTTGGTACAGTGATTTGAAATTTCCCGTTGTTGCTTGGGGAATTTTCGGGAGGGGGCAAGAGAGTCATGTTAGAGAACCGGCCTTGCGAGTCGTATTTGGTGATCGCAAGCTCTTGTCCACGAGGAACCAAGTGGCCTTACATGTACAATGGGAAGCGTCCGGGGGAATTCGACGAATCCGATGGTTGTTGTCGGGAAACCAAGTTGTCTAAGTTTTCTTCCGATGATTCCTCCAGCGACGATAATAATAATACTAATACTACTTCTTCCCCACGAGACTCACGTGACGTCCTCTTGCCTGATTCACGTGACCAATCCGACGATGATAGTAAGTTATCTGATTCTTCTTCGGATTTGGATTCTTCACTTATCCACCGCCACTCCATTGGGCTAGACAAAACGGATTTGAATAACCAATCAGACGATGACAGCCTGTCGGATTCTGTGGAGGACTTGCTGGAGGAACAATCCGAGGAAGATGATGATGATAATGGCTTTTTGGATTCTCCTGAGGCGGAGGAGAAGGAGGATGAGGAGGAGGGGAATGAGGATGGCTACCGGAAACATGCTGGGGATTCATCATCCAATTTGGATGCGTTAATCCAACCAATTGGGAGAGACAACTCCATCAGTTGTCTGATTAGGTGCTCAAGGTCTGATTATGGTTCCATTGCCCTGTTGAACCGAAGTTTTCGTTCCTTAATTAGGAGCGGAGAGATCTATAAGTTGAGGAGGCAGAATGGTGTGGTTGAACATTGGGTTTACTTTTCATGTCTCCTCCTTCAATGGGAGGCATTTGATCCAATTCGACACAGGTGGATGAGTTTGCCAAGGATGCCTCCCAATGAATGTTTCATTTTTTCGGATAAGGAATCCTTGGCTGTGGGAACTGAGTTGCTTGTGTTTGGGAAGGAGGTGACTTCTCAGGTTATATATAGATACAGTATTTTGACAAATTCATGGACTTCTGGGACCAGTATGAATGCTCCGAGGTGCTTGTTTGGGTCAGCTAGTCTTGGAGAGATTGCGATTTTAGCTGGTGGTTGTGATTCTCAGGGTAATATCCTGAGCTCTGCAGAAATGTACAATTCTGAGACACAGAGGTGGGAGACTCTCCCAAGCATGAATAAGCCAAGGAAGATGTGTAGTGGGGTATTTATGGATAAGAAATTTTATGTGATTGGGGGAACTACTGGAGTGGGGAATGATACAAGGGTACTCACTTGTGGTGAGGAGTATGATTTAGAGACAAAAAAATGGACTGAAATTCCTAACATGTCTCCTGGAAGGAATGAAGCAGCCGGTGAGGCTGAGGTGCCTGCGGCAGCTGGGGCACCCCCTCTGGTTGCAGTAGTAAATAATGAATTGTATGCTGCTGATCATGCTGACATGGAGGTAAAGAAGTATGATAAAGTTAGAAACTCATGGTTGACTATTGGAAGATTGCCTGAAAGAGCAGTTTCAATGAATGGTTGGGGTCTTGCATTCAGAGCATGTGGAGATCGCCTTATAGTGATTGGTGGACCTAGGAATTCGGGTGAAGGTTTTATAGAGCTCAATTCTTGGGTTCCAAGCGAAGGGCCTCCACAATGGAACTTGCTTGACAGAAAGCAATCGGGTAACTTTGTGTATAATTGTGCTGTGATGGGATGCTAAGAGATGGATTTTCGTAGCATCGTGTGCAGTGGAATGGTGATGCACTGCCACTGGGGTTTACATGATTGGTTTCTCCCCCAACACATAATTCTGAATTCTTGCTAATGGTAATTTCCCTTTCTTTTTTATATCTTTTCCCTTTTGTATGGGGAATGATGGGGAAGAGTTTCAGATTTTACTCAAGACTCAATAGAATGTTTTATTGATAGGACGTCTTGAGTTTTTATTTCTTCTTTCAAAACTTCATTCAAAATTTCTTCCATTAAATTTGTGTCTTCCCCCGTTTTCAGTGACATGAGAACTTGCAAAGGTTGGCGTCATGTAGCACAGGAATAGGTTTAATAATTTGAAGTACCAACATATTGGTAGGTTGCCATTAGAGTTTGTTGAAGCTTTTTTAAGAACACAGAACTAGTCATATGGGTTTTTCATCCGTAATTTTCTTGGAATTGTCCTTAAAGGTAGGAAATAAGTTCTGGAGGTTGTTATCTTGGATGTTGGCGGATGTACTGATTACATTGATCATTACAATTGATGGGCTATGTATTTCCAGAATTTTTCTTATGCACACTTTGGAATTGTTTATTGTTTTTAATTTCTTTCGTTCAGCTGATGGTGTTAGTTTTTCTATTTGCGCTATTTGCCAATCCATAAGTTGTTTTATTTTCCCATGATTTCCTTTAATTAGTCTGATATATTCAATGGTGTTGATGACTCTTATTCCTTTCAATTATTTCATAAGCATGGAATTTTTACATTGAGTTGTAAAATAGAATTTTTTTTTTCCACTTTGACAATCTTGATAAATAGAATTGTATTCATATAATTACTAATTGAAAACCTGTGCATTCTGCAAATTAACTATTCATTCATTTATGTTGATATGTTTCATTTCTTAAGGCAAATACTGCCAATAAAGTTGAAATCATCAGCTAGTCAGCCTGATGTTTTTAATGATAAATATCAATATATTCACCTAAGGTTGGACTATTTTAGTATTCTATTTTCAGTGGATGCTAACAGCCTTGATCTTTGCAAATTTACTGTTAGCATGGCCATTCTTCTCTACGAAACATCTATTTGGAGTTCAGAATGTACTCTGCAATAATGAAAATCTTAGTTTTCATGGTTTTAGGAGAGACCATGTTTGCGTCAAAGAATATTTCACAAAGTGAGTATGAAGGTTTTCGCATGGTGTTGTGAACCTACAAGGAAGTAGATCAGCAACAATAGCATAAGATACAGTGTGATTAACTGATAACAGCAAATATGACATTTCCACCTTTACATTCTTTCTGGGGGTGGGGTGCAAAGGAAGGTTTTCTTTTAGAGAGAAGCCTTTGTGTAGTATCTACTCTTGGCTTTTGTGTGGTTGATACTAGATATAGGAGGTCGTTAGAATTGTCTGAGGGCTTACAGAATGACATACTTAAATCTGTGTGTGTGTGGTTTCCATTTTTCTGCTCTATACTTGGGAATATGGGCTATTTTCTTTGTACTAGTTTACTTTGAATGTGAAAATTTTTTTATGACTGTTTTTGTATGTATGTTAGATATGTCTCTGAAAACCTGAAAATTTTGGCTGAGGAAATCTAGCAAAAATGTCTTTACCATCCTGTTTGTCCTGTGTTTCTATAACAGTTCTCTTTACCACTTTTTTCTGCTGTATTTAATCCAATTCACACACTGGTTTCAATCAGTCCCAACAAAGTTCTATTCAGTTTTCTTTCTCCTGCTGTTGTTTTCTGTGTGCTGACACATACTAAATTCAGTTGGTGGTCCTGTACCTCAAGTTATAATTTTTCTACGCAACTCTTTAGTGCTTTTGTCATCTTTATTATTGGTGACTTTTGGTGTTGTCCCTCAACAGTGTTTAGTACAATCAGATATTTTACTTTAAAATGATTGCCAATTATTTATAGGCAATCTTTCATTTGATTATGAATATGGTGAGGCCATGGGTTTTCATCATCAACCCACATTCTTTCTGCAGTAGCCAGGATCAAATATTAGAATTCATTTTTCATTTCACATTTTTCAGTCGATGATGCAACAAATTTCCGGTTTCGGTTCATTTGAGAGCTCGATTGAAAGACTCATATCGTATCGAAAATGGAGGTTGTGAATCAGTGGCTAGAATGAATTCCTTGAGTTTTTTTTAACAATTTACCCAACCTCATTTTCTATTTTTATCTAGTTTTGAACTGTATTGTTACTGCAGCCCCTTGGTTCATACTGGCAAGTTTGACTCCTGGCTGAACTTACCATGGACCATGTGGGCTCGTAATCTTTGATTGGCTCATGATCATGAAGCAGTTGTCCTGCCTCCAGGAGTTAGGCCTACCATTAGCTTTTCATTAATTGTTTCTGGTAGATCATGTAAATTTTGCCGTGCACAAAATCAGATGAACAACCCCCCCCCCAAAGTACTGTACTACTGTTCTGAGCATATCAACAGTGAATATGATTCAAATTATGCATGAGGTAACTTTGTCTTGTAGTGGAACAAGTAAACACCACAAAAATTTGGGTACGCACGTGTTTGAATTGATGGTACAATGCTTAAAAATTTTCACCCAAGAATCTCTTTCAATTTAAACACTTATTTAAAGACTTTTTAAGGTCAGTTAATATCTTATACTATTTATTAATAATGCTTTTGGCTGAGTTTGGTGTCACAAGTGATTAACTTACTAAATAAAATTGTAAAAAATATATATAAAAATTGGTGTAATAATAAAAACATAAAATAAAAATATTTCTTTTTTATTTATAATTTTGTTCACAAGTTTTTAGAAAAAATTACTCAATCACAAGTTTAAAACAGGGTTCAATCAAACCCTAATTTTAGTTGGCCTTGGTAATTCGTTTAAGTCCCTTTGAAGTTTGTGTTTACACTAAAGCTCCATAGACAACCCCTTAAAACCTGGCCATGAGTTACCCAATGTTATGTTGGGGACAATGTTTTTCATATTTGTACTTTTCAAGACAGTGACTAAAGAAGATATACATAAATCTTCAGTGCATGTAATGATAGCCGAAAAACAATGCTTTCCGTAGTATTAATTTTGGCCATGCTCAATGCTTTGAAAATGGAAAGTGCATGTGTTTTTCCAAATGGATGGTCCTGCCGGATGATGCTTTAATAACAATTTAATGGTTTACTTTCCATAACAAATAGAACCATCTCTACTCCAAAACGCTCAGAGAAATGGTTGCCATCGCTGTTAATTTCAGTTGGGTTTCATTTGAGTTGTTTTAGTTAGGACTTAGAGTGGAAGGGCTGTAAAAACTAAAAACCAGGCTCAGATTTTGTTCATGTTTTTCATTAGTGAAAAACCAGCTACAGTTATTGAATTACCTGTTCCCTTTGATTGAAGCCATTGGGTCCAAAAATAGGGTTGAAATGTAGGCTGGCAAATGTCTTTTTCAACTTCAAAATCCAATCCATATTTACTAGGGGCTTAAACCCAGCATGGCAATCAATGAAAACAATGAATCCTACTATCTTTTCAAGACCAGGAAGAAACCCAACCCATTTACTTGGCTTCGAAAAGCAGCAAAAAGAATTTATATTTATCTTCCTTTTCTTCGGCTGTGTTCTCTTTCACATTCATGATTTAATGAAAGAGCTAGAATATCAAAGAATCCTATCCATTTCTTTGTTTTAGGGTTTTAATCATAGGCTGGATTGAATGGCTGTAATCAAATGTGTCTACTTTAAACAAATAACGATGACAATTTGACAAAGCTGCCAATGAGCTATGGACCAGAGTGCATGTTAGCTCCTCAAAGCTATTAGCTACGAGAGCTTGAAAAGGTGATAGTAACCCAAAGAAGAGTGTCCTTTGTTTAAGGATCCTGTTCAAATTAATTGCTACACCCAAGGGTTGGTGGGGCAATTGTCCTACATTTAGGACAGGTGAAGTGCTACAGCAAAAGCATGTATAGCCGACAGTAGTAGTTTTAGTTGTAAATTTAATTCATCAAGACATTACTAAGACCAAGTTCTACCCAATAATTTTCCATTTGCAATTTATCTTTTAAAATTTTAGCAAATTATTTCAAGCCAACTTTCAAGTTGAGAGAAAGCTTAAAAAAAAAAAGTAGTTTTTATTTATTTTTTATGCAATTCATCATCTACTCTAAAACCTGTCTCCATCAACTTTTTCTGCTAGAATTTTGGCTACATTTACTTGATCAAATTCTTGACCAAAATCCCAATATCTAGTAGAATTATTTTTGTACATGGTCTCCATTATCTATATAAATATTCTAGAACATGTGAAATAACTTTTCTTTTGTATAAAATTCAAACCCAGGTGTCAAATTATATCTCTATTCATATCTCCTAAGAATCTAGAACTTCCCAACTGCTCTTCATTCATTAGTTTGGAGCATGTTTTTTTTTAAATCAAATACACCATTGATATCTGAATTGACCCTTAATAAAGCTTTGTATTTTATTTTGTTATCAATTTTTTTTTTCTAAAGAGCAAATGACTGTTTAATTTGTTTGGTGCACATACTGTGCTGGTGGCCCCAACCAGCATAAAGTGCAGTGCCAGCTAAAAGTTTAATGGCGACTAGTGGGGGATTGAAATTCCTTTTGGTGCCTTAACAATAATGGGCTATGAATTATACATGTCCATCTTCCCACTAATTGCAACAAAAAAGAAAGGTTGCAGATTTCATTTCATTTCTACTTTTACTTCTCTCCCTCTAAACCATCACTTTAGCTAGCTAGGAACATTATTAAAAATTTGCTCAACTAAAATACATTACTCAATATATATTTGGAAAATAGATCGTAGTTTGAAAATTTTTTAAAAAAAAAATTGTAGATTTTGAACTCTAAATTTACTAAATGTTGGTGATTATAGAAATTAATCGAATTAAGATTCGGATTTCATGAATATATGAAAGTGGGTTTTAGATATATAGTATGTTATATAATTGTAGCTTAATTAAATCCATGAATCAAATATCTCTTGATCCTCCAACTTAGGAAACAACATAGCATTAGTATTAGAGGTGTAATCGAGTCGAGTTGAATAGTGAGAAGTTCGAGTTCAACTCACAACTCGAGACTCGATATTCAGCTCGAGCTCGATCGAGTTTTATTTTTCAAGCTTGAACTCGATTCGTAATCGAATTTGAATTACTCGAGTTCGTTCGATTAAGCTCAATTAATATGTAAAAATAAGTTCGATTTATATACTCGACAAGAGTTCGATTATTCATGCTCGAACTTGGATTCGAAATATTTTATTAATTAAAATAATAAAAATATATTTAAATATAAAAATTCAATTAGGTTCGCGAGCTACTCGAGTCGAATATAAGAATACTCGAATTTGACTCGATTGATAAGTCGAACTATTCGAGCTTGAGCTCGACTCGATAATAATTGAACCGAATTTAAATTTTCTTTGAATCGAATCCGAATAGTTTACGAATACTAATATATCATTTACATCCCTAACTAACACCCCATAACCAATATTATATTATCTATGATCTTCGTTGCAATGGAAAGCGCATATAAGTAATCCACCTTTCGGCTCTTATCCTTTTGTTTTTGTTATCTTCCATTTATATGGTTTTTGTTAAGATCTGATAAGTGGATCATTGGTATCTTCAGGTAATGATTATGAATCAAATAGCAACATATTCAAAGATTTATATTTGTTTAAGAAAATATATTTTTGCAAAACCGAGTGGCAAGAAAGAAAATAAATTCCAGAAATTTAATGATACTCGATTGGAACGATAGAGTATGTTCATGGAAGAAAAATTACACATTCCAATATTAATATTAGGCAACATCCTTTGAATCTTTGATTGATTGTGAGCAAAGGATAGATTATGGAGCCACTTGTGGTCAAAATTAATTTTTTATTCAAAAGAAGGGAAATTCTAATTTTACTCTTAAATGGATGATAAACGTTTATTATTATTATTATTATTATTAGTAAATATTTGAGTGAATAATTATATTTTCTTCGGATTTTATAGAGCAGTTAAATCAGTTGGTAGTTGGTTGTAAAAGGTAATCAAAATCAACCCAAACCCACGTTTAAAATTTAGGTTTTAATTATATATGTGATATTCTCCTCTCGAGGAAGGATTCGTTTATATAGTATTTTATATAATTTTTTTAATTTTTAATTTTAATAAATTTAAAACATGAAAGAAATAAATAAAATAAAAATATTTTTATTTTTTTAAAATTTTTTTAAAATCAATAATTAAAAAAATATAAAATTAAAAACGTTTTATATTTTAACACTTTATTCAATAATAATTACTTGTTAAGATTATTTTAAATACATGATATGTAATTATTTATATTAAATTATTAAATATAATATATTTTATTTTATTATAAAAGATTAAACAATTTATTTATTCAAATTTTTTTCTTTAAAAAAAAAAAGAGATTAACAAAGAAGTCAATTCTTCCTACTTAGCCATTAAGTTTTTTGGTACAGTGGCGTGTGCTTTGCTCCAAAGCTTTCAATGAGAAAAATGAATTTTTTTTCTCATTTTAGAACTAATTAGTAACTACTAGAACATTATTTTTTATGGTCCACATCAAATAACGTGTCTAAACTATTTTCATTGTTTGTCTTAGTTTGATTTGGGACACTATATATTAAAAAATATGTGCTGAAATGTTAAAAGTATTCATAAATTAAATTCTAATTGTTAAAATTATTTATTTTTATTTGAGATTGTTAAAGATAAAATTTTAATTATTGAAATTAATAATTTAATATTTTATTAACATATCATATTAAATTTAATAATATAAAATATAATATAATGATACGATATAAATATTATACAAAAATAAAATACGAAAATGACATAATTTAAAATTTTAATAATAGTTATATATAATTTAACAATGTAAAAAAATATATTATATATTTTTATATCGATATAAATTATAATATATAATTTTTATATAAAATATAATAAAAATTTAATATTTTACACTATATAAATATATAAATTATTAAATCTTAATGATATGACTATTTTAGATAAGCACATAAAATAAAAAAATAGGGTTGGTAGATTTCCATAAATATTATTTAAATGGCATTATTTAATTTTTCATATGAATTAGAAAGGTCAGATTTCTGCACCTGTCAACGATCAATACTAGTTATGCAAATGACTTCATCCGAATTAAACAATATTTGAAAAGAAATTTTGTCCTTTAATTTGCCGGAAATTTTGAACATAGACTAAAAATTTGCTTATTATTATCTCAATATTTTTTTCTTGGATTTACTTGATTCTCCTTTTTATCATGGAACGTGCATTGGGATTTTGAGAGTATCAATTCCTCACTTTAAAAAATATTTTTTAGCCATTAATATTCCTCCTTGAGATTGATTCTCTTCCCTTAATTATCTGATCATATCTCTATATCAAGAGTCCAACACATGTTTTTTCGCGAATCAAAAGTTAATTCCTTCAAGCGATCGAACCCTTGATTATGATATATCTGTGGAGTTCTTAGAAAATAAAAATCAGATTTGAAGCTTAGTTAGTAGGGATTGATGTTTAAGATATTTAATGATTCAACTGTTCTTGGGTAAT